TTGTTGGGTTTTTTTTGGGGGGGCGCAATGCTTCAATGTGGAGTACAGGAATGGTGATGACAATGGAGGTAGTGAGGTGACGTGGATTGTGACGGGGGGAACAGAGGTAGCAACACATCAAATACTCTTTCATAGTCTGTAGCCCTACGGCATATGTGCCGGATTTATAACACACACATATCAAAACAAAACAAAAAACAAAAAAAACAGTCCCTAAACAAAATATTTTTGAACATTCAGGGACCTTAATAAACTCTCATTTCTTTCAATCTCTGGCAATAAGATGATTGAAAAAAAAAATGAAGAAAAAAAAGAAAGAAAACGAGACAAAAATGCCACAAAATACATCTTGGATATTCACACTTCTTTTGACAATCTAGCCACCAACCCTGTAGTAGCAGGAAGCAGGCAAGCTCTTCATAAAAAGAAGAAAAAAAAATCACCCTTTTCCCTTCGCTGTGGATATATTATGTCAACTGTCTAGCAGCTCCAGACGCTAGTCATAAAAAAGCATAACCAATTTATTCCTTTGGGTATGACTGGTGCTCTTTCTAAAACACACAATATCCAGCCAGAATGGGCAAGGGAAGAGAAAGATTTGTTGTTTGGTTCAAACTCTCAATGGTTACCTTCATTTACAACTTCTATTATCAACTACTCTAAACACAGCTGCAAGAAATCAAATCACAAGGGCTTTCATTTTTAGCATTTCAGCAATTTTGTAAAAAAAAAAAACAACTTAATCAATAATTAGTGATTTTCTTCCTTCATGTATTTTCCTGCAATAAGCAAAATGACATTTTTCGATTTCTTCTTCTTTTCGATCGCATCACACTTGAAGTCTGGTATCTGTCATAAATAGGGCCATAAGCTCTTTGTGTAATACTGCAAAAAATGACACAAAGAGCTTACGATATGAAATATTTCTCTCTTTGGGTGTCCTCAAAATCATAAACAAAATGTTCAAATTTCAGAAACGTAATTTCCACAAAACTGTGGTCCAAGACCAGGTTCTGTTTCAGCAGAGGTTTTACGGCGCTCGCAACTGCATAAGAAGACCATGTTCATGGTATCACAAAACTGACAGATTCGTAACGATTTATGAACTGTAATCCATTGAGAGTTGCCAGCATAAAAACTCTCAGATCGGGAGAAACAACGACAGCAAACCAAGCGAGCGAGCGAGTGTAACTCAACAGAAAACAGCACCTGCAACATCAAGCTGTCTAGGGAGAAACAGTAGAGTGCGGATAAACACAACAAGAAGACAGAAAAGGGGGGGGGGGGGGGGGGGGGGGGATTTGATTGTAGCAACATCGAGGACATCAAAGTTCATTCATTCGAGCCACTGCCAGCCTAGGAGGCTGCTGCTAAGGTCTCACAATTTCTGATAAAAGTCAGAGAACGGTTTCAACAAAACTGTCGCATTAGTACTAATTATAATTAGTCATTACACGACAACGTTTACCACAAACATGTCATTTACTTGTATCTGTAGATGATGTTCTACACACCCATCGACTCTGCCTATCAGGGAAAACTACAACCCAAGATGGATACAATGTCCCAGTAGACAGATGTGGGAGTCTTGAGTACACCACATCCATACTTTCAGATCATGATGATCGTATCAATAAACTACAATCCAAAGTCTCCTAAAGTGAAAACATATGCATCAATAATTCTTTTAACAACAACAACAATGTCCCAGCAGACAGACGTGGTACTCTTGAAAACTCTCCAAAACAACTTTAAAGAAAACAAAGACCTGCATTATGGATTCGAACCAAGGATCATCCCCCGTCACAGCCTAATATGATACAAACTAAGCCAAAAACGGCCAGTCCCCTTTGAGATCTGACCACTTATGACGCCACAGCGCCAGAAGAGAGAGAGAGAGAGAGAGACAGAGAGAGAGAGAGAGAGAAAGAGAGAGAGAAAAAGAGGGAGAGACAGAGAGAGATCAGGGTACCCTATTTCGCAGATTTCCCAGAAAAGAACCTTTTCAACACCTAGCTAGGCTGGCAGACGACTGTGAGTGAATGTGTGGAGAGGACAGCAAGCAGGCAGTGGGAGAAAGAGGTGGGTCGCAAACGTAGTAAATACACAAAACATGACAAATTTATAGAAAAACACACTCTTCATGGACTGCCCAAAATGTGGCTAGCGGCAGTCCACACAAAAATACGTAGATCCAGGAAAAACAACATGCCGGATGAAAATTTCCCACGAATGAATTAATAATACAAAATTAATAACTCTCTCTATGTACAAACTTTACATCAAAGGATACATAGTACAAAAAAGGGCAGACTTTTAAAACCCAATAATAAAACCAATTGACCTGTTCCAAATGTAAAGGAAGTGGCATTTGTAACAGGAGTAAGTCAAATGATCATGACACAAAATAGGTTAAAAACAGCCCAAAATAGAAAGCACATGAAGACATTCAATTCATCATTAGTGACTTTGATTGCTTACGTCAGGCGAGAATTGTGAAGAAAAGCATGAGGGGAAAAAAACAAACAAGTCAACTCATCCATAGTGAGAGAGAATGTCATCGTGTGTGGATCACCGTAGAATTCTCGTGCAACTGCAACCTACTCACTCACACGCATGACCAGTAATTAAATACACTAATCAAATCACACCTGCACTCGACACACACTCCTGATGACGGTGGAAAAAGACAAAATCGTGAGAAATTCCGACATAATAATTAATAGGTACATTTTGCCCCACCATAAAAGTGGGCTTATACAGTCGTCATGTTTTACATTCAATTCTGGATTTCAAAGAGCGCGTAAGTACTTTAAAGTTATCACCACATTTCACAGAAATAAAAACTCTATAAGTCGTCAGTGAAACAGATTACTTTGCCTCCTTTTTTAAACCTCCCTCTCCTCCATTGCTTTATCGGCTCTGCTTTTTTCAATGCCCATTCATTTCCAACTAAAAGATACATAAACTAAAATGCACAAGCCCAAATTTCTGAACAAGGGTTTGTTGGTTTTTTGGTTTTTTTTATACTTACTTTCCTCTAATATGGGCAGTAATTAAAGGTACAACTGCTGTGCATAAACAGCAATTATAAGGGGGGCAAAAATTAGTGCTGACAGCAAAAAAAAAAACTATTTAAAAAAATCCTAATATATTACAAACTCAAAAATTTGAAGGAGAAAAAAAAAGTCCTCATTCACATGGAAGGACTGCTGCTACATAGTTAAAAATACATCCTTATAATAAAAAAAATCACCACCGATATTGCTCCTTTTTTTGAGTAGGGGGGGGGGGACTGGCAGCGTTGTGCGTGACACAACACTTACACAATATAACGTGACAGTATCCATCAGCTCAAATATACAACTTCTGCCTTAAGTACACCATGCCCACACTTTCAGATCATATCAATAAATATTACAATCCAAAGTGTCCAAAAGTCAAAACATATGCATCAATAATTCTTTTAAAACAAAAACCAACAACATAACTTTGGATGAAACACTCAATCAATAAAAAAGTTGATGAAACGTGACACTGGGTCGGTGAAGAAATGCTCAACATGATGTATATCTTGAAAACATGATTCCCCCGGGAAATGTTCGGGATGAAGCATCAGAAGTATGATTTTTTTTAGATCCAATCTCAAACACAATCATGGATGAAACTCTCATGATTCTATATGAAATGATAAACATGAGGTATGGGATATAAGACAATGGATGAAATCTTCAACATGGAAACCAACCAAGAATCTCATTTATATATATATATGTACGTATATATATATATATATTTATACTACAAGCCATGCTGAAACAAAGAAGGAATTTGCCCCCAACGTATACATATTTTCATAGCTTTCTACTATGGTCGATTGATTGATTGAATAGATGTTTTACGGCACTATCGACCCAATTTTGGTCATTTAAGCGCCATCGATGGTCAAACGATAGAGGTGATAACATTTTCTTTCCAGTGTATTCCAACACCTGGCTAACAAACACCTAGAAGTTATTCGTCACTCAAAGTAAAGAGCGTTTATCCAGCTCGCACTGCTTTCAGTCTACACACGTGCAGTGGAAACTTTTCTTTGTATTCAAGAGGGGCGTAATAATAACAGATCCTGCTAAATAAAAGATGGAAAGCCGAGCCCATGTAGTAAAAGCTGATAACGTTTTGTCGTCGCCAAACTTTTACTGTTTGTTTCGATTCTGACGCACAAGTTTTGTGTTGATGGTTTTGCTCGGTTTGTAGTACAAAAATAGATACCCAACTCGTGGGGTGGTGCTTTGACATTGAGCTATTCTTCTATGCTAAAAAAAAACCCAACCAAACTGCAGCGACACACACAAAACGTAGGGAAGAAGAACTGCTTTAATTCTTTATCTCCGAGGCGGGTAAACCCACTATTTTGGTGCTAAATCTAAAAAATGACATAAACGTCATCAAATGGGTTATTAAATCGAAACTAGCAAACCTATTTAGATAGTTCTTCATCTAATTAATGAATGAACATCCGGTATAAGAGACCTGTTTTCAGAAATTGCCGAATAGTAATTTGAAGCACAGTGGTTCCAATAGCGAGCCGCTGGGAGCAGCTTGCAAGAGATAAAGAGTTAAAATAAATTTCAAACAGTGATTAAGCCCGTTTTGTTTGGAAAAAGATTGCCTCCCACATTAAAAAAAAAGGGCTCTAGCACCGCTTCGAATTTTTTCTAGCAAGTCATCATCATCTCCACATTGTGCGTGTCACTGCAGTCTCATTTTTGAAGGAATGGCCGCCCCATTTTGTCTTGATTCAAACACGTGATTACGGATGCTCGAGCAAGGCTCACATAGCAAATCACATCTTACCTTCAGGTTAACCGTCAAATCATTACACCACTCATTGTGCATCTACTACTAATGTGTATACGTGTGCGTGTTTATATATATAAATATACACATTATATATATATATATATATATATATATATATATATATATATATATATGTATATATATATATATACACACACACATAAATATACATAAATATATCCATCTACTTATATATCCCCATCCCATCCCATTCCCAAGAAGTCCAACCCTTGACAAAACGGCGCGACGCTAACAGGAGGAGGCGCTGATCCTCCGTCGTAAATGAGCCGACTTCTGCGTCGGTATTGTGGCGGCGATCTTGGTGGTGAGTGAGGAGCCCAGGCAGAGGCGCGAGGGCGCCATGGCCCCGCCCGGCAGCTGAAACAAGATGGTGCCCACCCCCGCCAGCCCGTCCTCCGTGGGCTCGATGGCGATGGGCACCACGCCCAGCTCGCGGGCAGGAGGCGGGCTGGTCAGCGTGTTGATGTCGTTATTGTTGTAATACTGATTCCGGTTCGGGTAGCGGCCGACGCGGGATCGAGGCCGGACCAGCCCCGAGCCGAGCGGCAGGAACATGGACTCCTCGTGCTCCACCAGGACCAGAATTTTGGCGAAAGGCCGCGAGGCCATACACTCCATCTCCCGCTCCCGCATCTGCCGCGAGCGGCGCGCGTCAAACGTCTGCTTCATCTTCCACAGCATGATGCAGACGGCCAGGAAGAGGAAGAAGCAGGAGAAGAAGACGGAGAAGAAGACGAACAGGTCGATGTGGGGCTGGTCCTGCCGGAAGTACAGGTTCCCGTAGGTCGAGTTGTCCAGGTGGGGGCCGTTGTCGCGCGCCCGCACGATGATGTAGAAGCGGGAGGTACGCAGCTCGTGCTGGTCGCGTGGCAGCGTGATCACCAAGCGGAAGCGCACGTCTCGCACGACCAACACACTGTTCCGCTCGCCCACCGTGATGTACGTGTTGAGGGCGCCCGCATCGATCTCGCCCATCTTGATGCCCACCGAGCCGTCGCTGACGTCCAGGTCGCGTTTGGCGTCGGTCACCGTGATGCCGCGCTTCTGGTGTTTGGCCGCAACTGCTCCATCCGCTCGGGACGAGTTGTGCCTCTTACTGGCATGACCTCTCGAGGACTGGGGCATCATGCTCTCACTGTCCCACAGATCGAAAAGTTTCCGCGTGGGTTCTTCCATTTCTTTCCAGGTTCGTAAAAGCTCCCGCACGTTTTTCTCAATCTTTCTACTCTTCTTGCTCTTCACTCTGCCCCTGTGGTGATGTCTCCTCCCCTCTCGCCCCATCCGGTCGTAGATATCGTCCTCCGATTGCACAGCTAAGCCAGGGGACCGATGCGACCCTGGCCGATTTTCTTTGAATTTATCCTTTTTGGAAGCACCACCACCACCACCCCCACCACCTTTGCTTATCGACTTGTCCATACTTTTAAACTGGGACATCTTATAGAACTCTGTGTCCGTCGACTTGAGCTTCAGATAACCCGGCACTTTCTCCGTGATGCGTACGGCTCCACTCTCGTGTAGCTGCAGCCGTTGACGAATAGCGTCATCGTCGACATAGCCACCACCACCACCGCCGTTTCCCATGATGCTCCTGCGGGCCTGTCCGGCTCGGGTGCTGGCGTACATCTTGTCCAGGTAGATCTCGTGAGCCCACGACGATTTGTCCACAAACACTTGGAACGTGTCGATCTTGTTGGAGATAAACACATCAGCACCTGCGGACAGCAGACGTTGGGTTATTTTTGTGAAACTTTTGCACTTACAAACACAGCTTTTGTACTCACAAACACAAATTTTCGCACACACAAACACTCGCAAACACAATACAACTTTTGCACTCACAAACACAACTCTTGCACTTGAACTTCCCTGTCTGTAACACCTTACAAACCACCTGCGTAACACAGTAAATACTTCCAACACTCACTGCCCATAGTGACGTCCATAGTGACGCGAATGTACAGCAAGGAACACGGTGTAGCCCATCTGTACTTAATTTCATATTTAAAAAAACAAAGGAAAATAAAAGAAGTAGGACCTACTAGTGGCACCCTCCAACCATCCACTGCCCCAATCAGTGACACCTTAAGCCACCTGCACACTACAGCGAACATATTCACATTCAACACTTCCAACACTCACTGCCCATCGTGACGTCAGTGGTAATGCAATTGTCCAAGTACTTTCGTTGGACAGCACAAAATGCAGTGCGGCCCAGCTTTAGACATAACTTCAGACAGAAGAAAAAAAAACGAAAGAAGTAAAACCTACTTTTTGAGCCCTCCAACAATCTGAACCTCCCAGTGACACCTTAAAACCCACTACAGCGAGCACATTCACATTCAACACTTACTGCCCATAGTGACGTCTATCGTGATGCGAATGTCCATATTAAAAATAACCCCAAAAAATTTCAAAAGTAGGCCCCACTAGTAGTGGCACCCTCCAACCACTCACTGCACCTACTAGTAGCGGCACCCTCCAACCATCGACCGCCCCAATCAGTGACACGTTAAAACCACCTGCGCACTACAGCGAACACATTCACATTCAACACTTCCAACACTCAGTTAAGTTTAGTTTTAGAAGAGGTTTTACGGCCTTCGCAACTGCATAAGGTCATATGAGCGCCACAAGATAAGAGGTGTTACAAGAGAGTAACAAACATAAAAAAGAAGAAGAGGGAGATAAGGACGATGGATGTTTGATAGGAAAGAAGAAGAAACCAACCACACCAGAGCACCCGCCAACCACCCACTCCAACACTCACTGCTCATAGTGACGTCTATAGTGATGTGAATTTCCACGTTGAGGTACTTGGGCTGGACAGCAAAGAACACGGTGCGGCCCAACTTTGTACTTAATTTCATTTTTTTTTTATAAAGGAAAATAAAAGAAGTAGGACCTACTAGTGGCACCCTCCAACCATCCACCGCCCCAATCAGTGCCGCCTTAACCCTATCCATACGTCATGTTTTACTATCATATCCAAAAGGCGTGGGGACCTCTCTGCCACCACTTTCAAAGAGGAAATTTACTCGTTAATCCGATCTGTACGCTTTGCATAGCAGTCTGTCAAAATGATTTTTGGAGAAATATAGAAAGTTTCAAAGAGATCTTAAATCTAGAAGTATTCTAAAAGGTGAAGAATACAACCCCGGGGGTACAAAATAACCCCACGGAGTACGGATAGGGTTAAAACCACCTGCGCACTACAGCGAGCACATTCACATTCAACACTTCCAACACTCACTGCCCATAGTGACGTCTATAGTGATGCGGATGTCCACGTTGAGGTACTTGGGCTGGACGGCAAAGAACACGGTGCGGCCCAGCTTGAGGGCCTTGGGGAACTGGTTGCAATTGTTCTGCGTGTCCGGGTCGAAGCAGTAGTCGCGGTCGACGTTCATCTGTCGGTAGCACTGGTGGCCGTTGGTCGGTGTGCCCAGGAAGTACTCCTTGCACTGAGCGCACTGCGAAAAGTGTAACAGTACTTTAAGAAAGTGTTTTTAAAATAGTTTTAGTAGAGGTTTTACGGCGCTCGCAACTGCATACAGTCATATGAGTGCCAAGGGGTGGATGTCAACAGAGAAGTCCTTACAGGGAATCAGACTTACTCTGCTCACCTCTCTAGCCTAACAGCACAAATTCTACTTCGTTTATCAAGGCACCCCGGAAATATCGGGTCACAAGAGGAAAAAAGACTATAGTAAGGATTAGGAAAGAAAAAGCAGCAGTTCCCACATTCAGGCACATTTATGAGCATGACATTGTTGGATCAGCCCATTTACAATTCTACTGTGCATTAGAACGTCAAATGTCCCCCCTTTGGGAATGGCCTAAAGACACTTCATTCAGTGGCACTGCCCCGGAGGTGATCCAATTTTGATTATAAGATAAGACAAGATCAGATAAAAGTATTTTATCGTGGATCCAATTTTGATCAAAAGAAAAGATAAGATAGATGAGATAAGACCAGATAAGATAAGATAGATAAGATGAGATCAGATAAGACAAGATAATACTTTATTATCCCAGAGCGAAATTTTTCTTGGCTGTACAGGCCCGTAAAAATATATCCAAGCATACATAGAAATTAAATTAAATATTACTCTCATTAAAATCCAGTATGAAGAGAACAGTAAAGCTGAAAAAAATGCACATTTTACATAGAAATTCTATTAAATATTACTCTCATTAAAATCCAGTATGAAGAGAACAGTAAAGCTGACAAAAATGCACATATAACATCAGATGCATCATTCAATCACATGCTGGGATTCATCACAAGACCTTTAGAGTTATACAGATACATGTATATATTCGAAACAGCAATACACACTGATGTTTATTCCATCAGTAGCCTTATACTAGATGATAAAATACTTCTTTAGTATCTTCCTTTGTTCTTAGTGGTTTGTATCTGCCGAAGCTGGATCTTACAAATTTAAGAGGTGGGCTATGTGAGTTAACCTTGCCTTACCTGTCACTCAGGTATCAAAGTTACATCTTAAAATTTTCTTCCATGAATTTCCTTATTAAGCTAAAAATTCTTCCTTTCCACTTTCCTCCCTTCTCCCTCAGCTTTTTTATCCACATCATCTAATCTCCCTCGACTCTTCCTGCGCAACTTCTCTCTCTCTCTCTCTCTCTCTCTCTCTTTCTCTCCTCTTCTCCCTCCTCATTTTTTTTTTCCTTCTCTTCCCCCTCTTCCTTTTTTCCGTTCTCCGCCTCTTTTCCCCCCTTTTCCTCCTCCCTTCTTCTTTCTTCCTCTCCTCCCTTCTTTCTCCCTCTCCTCCCTTTCATCTTTATCATTCTTCTTTTCCTCCTCTCTCCTCTTTAATCCTTTATCCTTCTCATCCTCTCTCCCCTTTTCTCCTTTCTCCTTCACCCCCTTTCCTTCCTCCCCCTCTCCTCTTCTCCTTCTCTCTCCGGTTTAATCCTTTATCCTTCTCATCCTCTCTCCCCTTTGCTCCTTTCTCCTCCCCCCTTTCCTTCCTCCCTCT